CCGCCGTGCCCCGCCGCTGCTGCCGGCGGTGCTGTTCCAGCTTATAATTGCCACTGTTCGAGCTTCAATAATGGCCTCTTCTTCGCCGAGAATAGCCCCAAATCGCAATGCAAATTAACCTAGATAGTATTTGTTGATCATCATTGTTTCCGAAGATCAGGACGTACTTTTGTCCCACGAAAATCACGCACCTATTTTGCATGGACTGATAATATCAATAGTACGAGTATCGTTCTACCCAATAATGATGATAATCGACCGATCGAGAAAGTGGCGGCGCGTGACATTAACTTACTTTTGGCTAATCCAGAAAGCGGATACATTAGTGGAGAAATTAGGGATGTGGCAGGTTTTAGCTACTTTATATTTAACTAATGACCCATTCTCTCTCTTACTTCACCATCTGTGATCTCCAGCAAGATGAGAAGCGCCATTAGGGAGGCTCGATAACAAGGAAGATAGAGAAGAGAGAGTTAAAAGGTGAAACAAAGAAAAACTAAGGCCCTGTTCATTTCGCTGATTCGAGTTTAAAATTCGAGTTTTGCTACAGTAAAAAGCTCTTACAAACAATCACATCTAACTTTTTTGCTACAGTAAAAAACTCTCATATAAAATCACATATCAACTCGAATTAAAAACTCGAATCAGCGAACTAAACGGACCCAAATAAGAAAAGCCCAGGACCAAGAAATTAGACATTAAAGATCAATCAATATTTAACTAGTAAATCAATAATTTTTATCTGTAATTTAAATACTTATAATGGAGAATGAATGATTGATTTGGCCGTTAATCACAGATCACTAATGTTGATGTCCAGTGATTCAAAATGTTTGTACAAGTAAGAACATTAATAGAGTTATAGAGTTTGAGATGACTTATTTTCTAAAACTTAAGTTTACAGTACTATAGGTGGCCTATTAGTATATATCGATGAAGTAGTACATAAAATGATTAGTTATTATAAAAATATGTAAATGAAATAAGAAGAATATTATAAAAGTATAGAAATAAATGAATTGCACGTGTTATTCTAGATCGTTTAACAAAGGCGCATAATAATATTAAAAAAATAGACACGTTCTTCGCATTACAGATTATTTAATTCATTGCTCTGACCTCATCATGCAGATAGTCTGAGAATCCTCATACTATCTATCATGATCAGGAAAAAAAAAAAAAGAAAAATACGGGTTAATTTTATGAATGGTTCTTAAAATTTACATTCAATCTTAACTTAATTTTTGACTTTTTAAACGTCACACAGTTAATCATTGAAGTATTATTTTGTTCAAATGTCAGTCATTACATCAATTATGTGTTAAAATTTGATGAAATTTGTATAAATTAAAAATTAAAATTAGAAACAACTAAGATTTTTTTGAGAATATTTGTAGAAATGAACTTTTATTTTTTTGAATTGTTTTTGTCTCTAAATTTTATATGCGTTCAATTTTAGTCGTTAATTTTCACAAATTCCGTCAAATATTTATCACCAAGCTAATAAAAAGACTAAAATTAAAACAAAATAAAATTTCAGTGACCAACTGTATGACATTTTAAAAGTCATAAACTAAAGTAGAATTGACAGTAAACCTCATAAATCATTTGCGAGATTAACCCAAAACTACAAAAACAAAATCCCCTTGATCTTTCAGCAGCCACAACGGCCAAATCAACATATTTCTCTTCTTTTGAGCAATATATCTCAAAACTCATTTGACCCAAATATAATGAATAAATTATGATATTTCCATTTGTAAAAGATGTAATTGAAATATTTTTGAAACTTGGCTTTTCTGAGAGCAAGAAAAACAAAAGGAGATTATTAAGTTGAGCAAAGAAAAATAAGTGAGTAAAATTAGGTAAAGTAATTAATATCTTTAAACAAATTAATTATGGTTCGGACATCAAAGAACAATGATTCACTTGTTTCAAATTCAATTTTATATAATTTATCTTCCTCCATCTCTCCTTTTGCGGCTTTATCTTTTTTTAATTTAAAGGTTGAGTCAGCTTTGCCTTCAATATAAAGCAACAAAAGTATTCTCTTATATCATGACAAAGAGAAATTAATATAATATAGGTAGAGTATTTCAATTTAAAAAAAAAAAAAGAAAAATTCCTGCAACAAGCAAAAATTTACAAATTGAAGAACAATAAACAAAATAAATAAATAAATACCAAAATAGAATTATAATTTATTCCAAACATTTAAAAGACGTGATGAAATACTCTTGCCAATTCCCACCTGCCACGCCCGCCTGCCTGCACCAGTCCAATACAATCGAAGCTTCATAGAAACGACGAAATTATTATTTTATTAAAAATGGAATCAATATCACATCAATACATGTCGGTGTGTGTGTGTATATATATGCATATATCATCTGCGACAGAGACTTTCAAACCATCCAAAGCCATTGTTTTGTAATTCGCATTTCACAGATATCTTCTATTTTTATATTATAAACGAAAACATCATATTTCAGGCAAAACATGTCGAGTTTTTTCATTCCAAACTCCGCCGACATGGCTCTTCTGGAGTCCGTTCGCCAACACCTTCTAGACGACGATTGTGTCAATCCTCCGGCGACCTTTTTCGCCAATGTGGCTCCGGTACGCGAAGCTACTCGTATGACGGGGATAGAACAGTACCAAGAGGGAGCACGTGAGAGACACGCGCCGTCAGGAGGGGTGCATTTTAGGGGCGTGAGGCGGCGGCCGTGGGGGAAGTACGCGGCGGAGATTAGGGACCCGAAGAAGAACGGCGCAAGAGTGTGGCTTGGGACGTACGAGACGCAGGAGGATGCGGCTTTGGCTTACGACCGAGCCGCTTTCAAGATGCGTGGCTCCAAAGCCAAGCTCAATTTCCCTCACCTCATTGGATCGTCCCATGAGTTGGAGCTCGCGAGAGTGACTCCCAAGCGGCGCTCGCCGGAGACTTCGGCTTCGTCGGGCGACGGTGGATCGCCCAAGCGGAGGAAGAGTGGAAATGGCTTTGAGGTTGAGGCTAAAGTTGAGTTGGATGATGAAACGACTTGGTTAGGTTTTTGCCCGCATGAAACCATAAACGGTTGGAAGTGATTTGCTGTGAACGAATTGTACAAGTAACTGCTGCGTCTCTTTGACCATCAGTCACCGTCTAATGGATTATTCATTTATTTATTTATTCATTTTGCTCGAGTTTATCTTATCAATATCGGGCATGATTGTGAGATATCCGTCCACAAAGTCAGCTTAATCACATCAAAATTATATTAAAAGTAATATACATATATATGAATGAATTTTTATATAAACCAGTTTTTAATAATTACATTTTTATAAATAAAAATAATAACTCATTAATTAATAAATACTAAAGTAACCGTTAATACTACACTACATATACACACATATATATACTATCAATACTACAAATATACATAATTATATATATAACTTTGACACAACTTAATAGAGTTTTATTTTTCAAAAAATAAAATAAAATAAAATTGACTTTTCTCAATAAACCGGCTGCATAACAAATGCCTTTTTTAGAGAAAAGTCGTATAACAAATCTATTTGTCCTCTTCATAACATTTTCTTTTTCAAAATTTATTTATTTGGTCATTCTTTGTAGACATAAAGTCGATGTAAACATAGCGAAGAAAAATGAATGATTCCTCATGTAGACCTCGTAATATTAGCAACCGTGCCAACATTGCACAATATTCTGCTCATATATGAAAAAACCAACACTAAAATTCCAGAAAGATCTACATTTCAAAAGCTACTTTGATTGGAGCATAAAAAGGCGCAAAGGAATTAATAAGGTTTCAGTATAATACGTTCCAAAATGGAAGCCGCACCAACAAATCTGGGTTTCATCTTGACAACTCAATTGGGATAACAATGGCTACAAGACATCCTTACTAGAAAGAAAGAAAGAAAGAAAGAAAGAAAGAGCCTGAAGCAACAGAAGACAGGTTTAGTATCCGAGGAAGGAACGGCATTTTCTCCAACTGCAGAGATCAACGGCTATAGGATTAGGAATTCCATTGGCAAAAATCATGGCAAGTCGATCGAAAACCCATCTTCAGTCACATCGTCACATCTCTTATCCCTATTTTCACGAAATCGGATGCCGTCTCCTGCAGTTTTTATTTGTCAATCAAGCACGAATCATAAAGGAATTCACAAATTTTACGACATGGATAAAACTGCAAATTACAAAACAGGCATTGATGCTTTTCCCTGAGATTTGTGTCATGTGATCTGTCTTTCCACTGATTCAAGTGAACACGTCACTTAGTGTGATTAAATGAGAACTAAGATCTCTTATCAATATATATATATATATATATATATATGAGAACTAAGATCTGATCCAAAGCAATCAGTTTTTATTTAGTAAACAAATAAAATTATGAGTTGACCATCTGACGAAAGATGTTATATGGATATGAGTTGAGCATCGTTTGTTCATTTTCAGATTAGGGGTGGAATTACCTCTTTGGTCGGCTACGGTCTTCCTCGTAGTCCATCACTCCACCAGGTTCAGAGTAGATCTCCTCGTGCCCTCGGTAGTCAATGTCGGCCTGCTCATAGGGTGTAACTTCTGCCACAACGTAAGTAAGACACATCGACCAATATAACCCACATTTCAATATAAGACCCTCTATAGATGATGGAAGGGGGCTAGGGGTTGTTGTAAGATATTCAAAGTTCCAGCTAAGCTCACTATTTATAGTGGCAAAAAAGGCTAAGCAATATAGACGTGCTCGAACAGAAAGCAGGACGTCAGACGTCTTACTAGTTTCAAGTTATTTTGCCCTCAAAAACCTTAGGATTATGAAGCTTCCAAGAAAATCCACCCAGTTACAGTTCTAAACACTAACTATTAAATTTCCTAATTTTATTTCCTAGTCGGGAATTGTTAAATTTTGCCATTTTTCATTTGTCTAAGGGAATGGTTTTAGATCTTATTATCTCACTTTCATCCCAATCATAAAGTATACAGAAACGAGACAAAACCCCATGGAAAGTCCAACTCCACTTAAAACGATCCTGATTGTGCATAGCTTTTGAAAATAAAATTAGAAAACAACAAAGCATTGAGATCATATAACTGAATTCACGTCATTTAAGGAAATGATCAGTATTACGAGATATCAGGCCTTTATTAAAAAAACAAGAAGGCATTGATTCTATTTATTTTCCGCACAACAGTTTTTCCCTTTTTCAGCCTCTGCTTACTTGTGCTGCCTACTTTGATTTCATAATAATTGACCAAATAAAATCACTAATTTGGCTTATTATGGCCGTCTAGAGAATAGATTCAACGAACAAATATGCACATGCAGGTTATTTTAAGGCAACATTTCCATAAAAGATTTCTAGGCAATTAAAGAGATAAACTTGATTTACTGACCTTGAGGGAAAGGGACTTCTTTACTTCTTCCACCCTGTCTTCAACATCTTTTTTGTGCTTCTTGTCCAACTCACTCACATTATCAGCCCACTTTATCTTTTCTTGAATTGAAACAAGCAGATCGTCTGATGTAGCCAGCCTAGATTTTCATTCAAAGAAATACAGGAAACAGATGTCTGTCAGATATATTATCTCAAAAAGAAACCTCATAAACTATATAAATAGCCATAAGAGTACTTTATCACCACACCAATGTGCATAAATTTTCTAGATGCAACGTAACACATCCCTCTAGATCATAAATTCAAGTATTAAACTATCTATGAGAAAAAAAAAGAAAGAGAAAAAGGATAGAAAAGTAACGGTAAAGACCCCATGGCACGGCATCATCTTCATGAATAAAAAGTCGTCATTCATTCAAAGTTGTACATCCACAAAAATTTCCATCAAAATTTTCAGTCACATGCCAAACAAAAACAACTCTTGAATAGGAAGTTTTATCAAAACTTATATTGAAAGCAAAAATACGGGCGTTGGAGTATACCAATGCAAGTTTAACCAAAAATGTTACCAGTTTGACAGTGTTTGTATCATAGACCCAAGCTGTCCAGGTCTCAGATCTCTTCCTGCAGCAAATTGAACCTGCATGTCATAAGACAAAATAAATTAGACTTTTTGAAGGAATAATTAAACTGAGATAGAGGTCGGAAGGGAGAGAGAAGAGAAAAATATCAAAAAGAAATAGCAAAAGATCAAGGGTAATAATGTCATACCTCAAAGCATCTTCGAAGTTGGTCAAGCTTTCCTCTAACTATGCCCTGAAAAAAAAAAAAAAAAAATATATATATATATATATATATATTACGAGACATCAATTTAGGCCTTCAACAACTGATCTATCTTTCTCTCCATCTTAAAGTACCAAGAAAAGGAGAGACAGATTGATGCTTTGAAGCATCATCAAGCTTGTTATCCATATAGGTTCACGAAGTAGATTAGCGAAAATTGCAACCATAAAAAATTTCTCTCAACAGTTTGAAAACACGCTCCTTGAAGTTGGAAGAAAGATCCTCAGAATCAATAAAAACTTTTCCTTTCAATAGTTGAAGAAAAGAGAACTTACAACCCAACAAGAATTTATGCACACAGAGAAAGAGAGAGAGAACAAAAATACCAGCATCTTCACATAAAAGAAGAGTATAGTAGAAAATAAACACCACTAACAAATATAGAAAAGCTACAAACTGAAGAAGAAATATAGAACTTAGAAGAATACATACCGCGTACATGCACTCATTAATAAGGAAGTCCTCAAGTTCACGCACATTTATAACATCTAGTTCCTGCATTAGTTGATCATAGGGCAGCACCTGGAAGGCTCAAAAGAACTAGAAATATGAGAGAAGTTAAAAAGAAAATACACACACACACACATCTGTGACAGTATGAAACAGTTAAACAAGGGAAGAAAAGGGCTGAAAACCTAGTAATGTATTTCAGAAGAAAAAAAAAAAAAAAAAATTGTGTGTAAGGCATTGGATTGAATAGAAAAGGAGATCAGTCCACAAATGACAAATTCCTCAATCAGCAACCATCATGACTGAAACAGGGCATAAAGAGCAGTCTACAACACTCCAAGAGAACGAAGGTGGTCAAGTATTTGAGGAATGCAATACCTTGTTTGTCTCAGCCAGTGTAAGGACAGTAAGTTGCTTTAACTTCAACACTTGCTCAGGGGTCAATTGTAGAAGACGACCAGCATTTCCTATACAGGACATAGTTTAATTGTTTATAGGTGATGTCTTGAGACATTATTAACTCAGCCTAAATGAAGCAAAAATTACGTAATTTTAGGTACAATCTTACAATATCAGAAATTGTTAGAATTGGAATTTCAAACAACAATATGGGATAAAAACCAGACAGGGTTATGGATGCTTACTCTTGAAATCACTCCACGTGCCATGTGCGAATAGGCGAAGCACATCCAAGTACACGGAGTTTTCAGTACCTTCAAGCTATACAATTCAAAGGTCAGAAGAAACAAATACACAAAGTGAAGCGGATGAAGAGTAATTAATAACTCAACTTTGATTATAGAGAAAAAATACAGGGAAAAATCAGAAATTTGTATTAGATCAATGGACTTTCCAGTTTAGCATTCTAAATCATGAGAAACCCTTTCGTTGTCTAAACTAAAACGTAATATCAGTTACTTCAAGAAAAAAGAAAAATTACATAAGTTAAACCACTTTACTAATCAAATGATTTTCCCACATCTTATCATTATAACCCAAACTCCGCCTATACGGTGATTCGTATAGCCGGTCCTAAGCCCGGGTAAAAGAGGAAGGTTGCGGTAGGTTGACAGCCAGCGTAAAAATATGTCACTCTATATGGATTTCTCATTGACAGACTCTGTTGGGGCGTTCCATACGTGCGACAGACTATGCCGGACCCCGGGTATAGTGTTAAATAGGCAAGGGGGGTCCTTGCACATTTTCATGGACATGTGTGGGGGGAGAAGCTAGCTCATGCGCCATGTTGGGCCTCAGATATAGTGACAAATATGCAAGGGGGGTCCTTGCACATTCATGGACGTGTGCAAGAGGCAAAGCTAGCCCATGATAGTAAAATTCGTCTAGGCAGTTGGAATGTAGGTTCTTTAACCAATAAATCTATGTAGTTAGTAGATGTTATGCTGAGAAGAAGAATTAACATCGTATGCTTATAGGAAACCAAGTGGACGGGAGAGAAGGCAAAAGATATTGGAAACCTAGAACATAAGATGTGCTACACAGGTTGGGAAAGGAATTGCAATGGAGTTGGCATTCTAGTGGACAAAACTTTGAAGGATGAAGTGGTTGAGATTAAGCGATTAGGTGATAGAATCATTATGATCAAATTAGTGTTAGGGGAGAAGTTCATTTATGTAATTAGTGCTTATGCTCCACAAGTAGGATTGGATGAGGAAACTAAAACCAAGTTCTGGGACGACATAGATGACTTAGTGCATAGTATAGGTAAGGATAGAGAAAACTTCGAGAGGATTTACGGTGGTTTTGGTTTTGGGGCTCGGAACGAAGAAGGGAAATCTATTTTGGAATTTGCATTGAGACACAACTTTGTTATACCAACACATTCTTTAAGAAAAGAGATTCACATTTAATCACTTTTCAGAATGGGAGGAACTCGAGCTAAATAAGATTATTTTCTCACAAGGTACAGAGATCATTCTCTCAACAAGGATTGTATAGTAATTCCTGGAGAAGCGTTAGCCACCCAACATAAGTTAGTAACCCTAGATGTGAGCATTAGGCTTTACCATAGGACTAAGATAAATCACCTCCCACGAACTTGTTGGTGGCATTTAAAGGGAATAAAAAAATCGGCTTTTAAGGAGAAGTTATTAAAGGAAGTTGCTTGGTCATGCGAAGGTGATGCAAATACTATGTGGGAAACCGTTGCGAGTTGCATTTGAAAAGTGGCAAAGAAAGTACTAGGAGTATCTAGAAGTAAAGGTCCTCCGGGAAAGGAAACCTGGTGGTGGAGTGATGAAGTTCAAAATGCTACTAGGACCAAGAGGGATTTATATAGAGAGCTACCAAAGTGTAAGGATGATGAGACTTTTATTAAGTACAAAGAAGCGACGAAGGAAGCTAAGAGAGTAGTTAATAAGGCTCGTGCTACTTATTTGGATTAGGTGTATAGGAAACTTGGGACTAGAGAAGGAGAGAAGATATCTATAAACTAGCTCAGATAAGAGAAAGGAAGTGTCGGGACCTAAATCAAGTGAGATGTGTTAAGGATGATATAGACCAAGTTCTGACGAATGATGAAAATATTAGGGAGAGGTGGAAGTGTTACTTTGAGAAACTTTATAATGAAAATCATGCAATGGGGTTTGGCAATCTTACGTACCAAGGCAAACCAAATGTGATGTATACAAGAGGCATCCGAGTTTTGAAAATTAAAACTGCGTTACGAGATATGAAAATGGGGAAGGTATGTGGGCCAGATGATATCCCAATAGAAGTTTGGAAGGTGTTAGGAGAGGTTGGAATTAAGTGACTCACTAAGCTCTTTAACGAGATGCTAAAGAAGAAGCATATGCCCGATGCTTGGAGAAAAAGTATATTCTCGTTCCCATCTTCAAGAATAAAGGAGATGCGCTAAATTGTAACAACTATAAGGGCATAAAGCTGATAAGTCACACTATGAAGCTTTGGGAGAGAGTTATTAAAATAAGATTAAGGGCCACAACTATCATCTCAGGTAACCAATTTGAGTTCATGCCCGGTAGATCAACCATGGAGGCTATTTTTTTTTCCTTAGAATGCTTATTGAAAGGTATAAAATAGCTAAGAAAGATTTGCAGATGGTCTTCATAGATTTAGAAAAGGCATATGATAGAATACCGAGAGAAGTATTATGGTGGGTACTAGAGAAGAGAGGGGTGCATATGAGGTATATCAAGATAATAAAGGATATGTACGATGGAGCTGTCGCAAGTGTGAGAATTACTGGAGGCTACACGGAAGATTTTTCCATTCGGATTGGCCTTCATCAAGGTTCCGCTCTTAGTCCTTATCTTTTCACTATCGTGATGGACAAGCTGACAAGAGAAATTCAAGATGGGATTTCTTGGTGTATGCTTTTTGCAGACGATATAGTTATAGTTGATGAACATCGGGAGGGAATTAACCGTAAGTTAAAATTATGGAGACAGACTTTTGAGACGAAGGGATTTAAGTTAAGTAGAATGAAAACTGAGTACATGCATAGTAGGTTTAGTAATTTGAGAGATCAGAGTGATGGAATTTCTTTGAATGGTGTGGTGATTGGGGCTTCTAGAAAATTTAGGTACCTTGGGTCCATAGTGCAATGTGAAGGGGATATAGATGAGGATATTGGACATAGGATTAAGGTGGGGTGAGTTAAGTGGAAGATTGCCACGGGAGTTTTATGTGAAGGAAAATTCTATAAGACAGCAATTCGCCCAGTTATGTTATATGGTAGTGAATGTTGGGCCATTAAAAGACAACAAATATACAATATGAGTGTGACGGAGATGCGTATATTAAGATGGATGAGTGGCCATACGATGATGGATCGCATACGGAATGAAGTTATTCGTAGTAAAGTAGGTGTAGCACTAATAGAAGATAAAGTGCGGGAAAACCGTATGAGGTGGTACGGGCATGTACAACGTAGATCGTTAGATACACCTGTTTGTGCTTGGGAGAACATCCAAATACCTAGTACTAGAAGAGCGAGGGGTAGATCAAAAATTACTTGGGCTGACGTAGTTAGGCACGACTTTCGAAATCTAGGGCTTCAAGAGGGTCTCATGTTTAATAGAGCAGACTAAAAACGAGAAATTCATATAGCCGACTCCAATTAATTTGAGATTAAGACTTGTATTTGTTGTTGTTGTTATCATTATAACCCAGAAACAACATAAGTTACAAAATTTAAAAGAGCTGCCTTATTCCTCAAATGCTTCAGCTACATCTTATTACTGTACCCCACATCATGGCAACCACTGAATAGAAAGCCCGCAATAAAGGTAGAAATAGCATGAACTAATGAGGGCAGACCCAGTTATTTTTGAGTTTGCAGCATCCACTTATATAAGATTTTATTTTCTGAGCTAAAAAAATAATTCCACTTCTGAAAGTCAGTAAATGAGCAATAGACCAATATTCTTTCCTGGGAAATTTCAACACCTTTTTTTTCTTTTAAAAATATGCCATTATGTTTTAGGACAATCAAGGAAAAACGTACTGTTAGGAAGCATAAATTTATAGAGAAAAAAGAAAAAGATTCATTAGCTTTCTTTTCCCTAATATCGAATAAAGCAACAGAAAACTAAAGCTTAGTTTTTCCTAATTAACTAAATAAAGCACCAAACATGTAGAGAACTAGAAAATTGATTTTTTTGTTTTTAATGAATTCTGCCCTGGAATTGAGTAAACGATCAAAAGCCCTGCGTTCTTTTTTCCAGTTTTACTCGCATCAATTGTTAGGGCAATCAAAGTAGAACCACAGATTTACAGGAAAGAAATTAAACAATCTAAACATCACAAGCTTATATTTCCTCTAATTAAGCAAATTAATCAGTAAAAAATAAAAAACTTGACAAAAGTATAAATATCGGACTAAAATTCGAAAAATGGTGTTCCACAATTTCTGACAAGTAATAATCGAACTAAAGGATAAGAAAGCATTTTCAAGAAACACGAAAACCGTGATCCGAACCTGGAGAACAGCGGGAACGGCGAGAATCTCGGAGAAGGCGAAGAGCGAGGGGTGAGAGGTGGCGTCGGCGACGACGGCGGCGAGGGCGGAGCCGGAGAGAGCCGACGCCTGCTTCACGAACTGATCGATGAGCTCCGATTGCTTCTGCTCTATATCCATATCTCTTCAACCCAAAAAATCCCACACAAAAAAAAAAAGGAAATATGTGTTTGTGTGTGTAAATGAAATAGTGAAATTAGGACGGAAAATGGAGGTGGTAATTGCAGAGCATTTGAAGAAGGAGGAGAGAAATTAGGGTTTTGGAGAGGGGATTTTGGGGACGGAGATTGGGAGGGAAGGGAGGGAGGGAGGAACAACCACCGGTTTCGTCGTTACTCTACACACTACTCTCTCCTCTCAAGCAGCTTTTTGAGCAATTCGCTCTCTTGAAGAGAAAGGAAGGTGAAAATTAAAAATAAAAATAAAACGAAAAAAAATAAAAGATTTTAGCAATTGTACCCTTTTTAACGTAAAATTTATATCTTCCTCCTCCCAATTTGTCTTTTTTTTTCTTTTCTTTTTTTTTTTTTTTACTGAGAAAGTTATCTACCATTGGATTGTGTTTGTAATCACAAGATACAAGTTAGTCCTCAATGCTAAGGTGGTTAGATTTTTAAAGAATTTTTAATATTATTTTAAAACTTGAATCACTTGGGGTGTTGGGATGACAATTCATGATATGGTTTGAATTATGATTTGTGACTCGTTACAGTATTTTTTCTCACAAAAACACATGGAAACTGAGAATGATCATGATTCTAGATTCATTAACCAAACGTATAGTTTTACCACGAAAAATAGTTATTGTAATTTTATTCATTAATCTGATTACACACTGGTCCTCAACAAATCATAAGTAAATCACTGATAGATTGGTGTCCTATAAATTGTAAATTATTTTTAGTATTTGGTATATCTAAGATAAGTTTAAAGGAAAAAACGGCCATTTAACTTAAAAAATATATATATAATGATGTTAAAATCTAAGGCCTCGTTCGTTTCGCTGATTCGAGTTTAAAATTCGAGTTGAGATGTGATTGTATGTGAGAGTTTTTTACTGTAGCAAAAAAGTTAGATGTGATTGTTTATGAGAGCTTTTTACTGTAGCAAAGTTGAGATGTGATTGTATGTGAGAGTTTTTTACTGTAGCAAAAAAGTTAGATGTGATTGTTTATGAGAGCTTTTTACTGTAGCAAAATTCGAATTCTAAACTCGAATCAGCGAAACGAACGAAGCATAACTATCCACCTAACTTTCACAAAAGTTTAAAGGGCACAAGTACTTTAAAAATAATTTTTCTATTCAAAATTTTACCGTCGTTAAAAATTGAAGTGAATTGTTGTTGTTTTGTAAATTTAGGCCCCGTTCATTTCACCGATTCGAGTTTAGAATTCGAGTTTTGCTACAGTAAAAAGCTCTCAGAAACAGTCACATCTAACTTTTTTGCTACAATAAAAAACTCTTACACAAAATCACATCTCAACTCGAATTACAAACTCGAATCAGCGAAGTGAACGGGCCCTTAAAGATTTGTTCTTTTGCAACAAAATTCAGAAAAAATTTAAACTAAAATTACAACTTTATTCAAGTTTACGTTCTTTTAAGTTCTAAACTTTATTCAATTTTACTCAATTTTATTCAAGTTACAATTTCAACTTAAGTTACAACTTAAATTCAACTCAAAAACTACACTCAAATTACACTCAAATTACACTCCAAAAAACAGGCCCTATATTGTTAAAGAACAATTTTCAAAGGCAAAAATACCAAATCCGAGAAGGATGAAGGGACACTTATTATACAAGTGCTACGCAGTAATACGTGGTGACGGGGGAGCCCCTCAATGATCCGTCAACTGAGCAAATCTCCGTAGTTATAGAGGGGCGTGTTTTACGATCTTTCCATTTGTGCACTGCATTAACGACATTTCGTGTCGTTTTTATTAACTACATGTCGTTTTCTTTGAAATTTCCATAATAATTATTTCATGTCGTTCTAAAAGATCAAGAGAACACTTTTTGCTGTCGTGCAAGAAAATGATGTCGTATGCAATATTGCTTTCATGTGGTCTGTCGTTTAGCATGAAAGCAGAAGTGGTAATAAAAGGCGCGTCCTTCTGGCTTAAAACCCTGTAGTTGTTTGCGAGTTTATGTCGTTTTGTTAAAATACCCGCCACATATGTCTTTTTTTAATTTTCCCCTAACGATTGTCGTTTATAAGAGAACGACAAGTCGTATTTCCCTATAGTTTGGGGGTTTTTTTTTCCCTCTCTTTGAGTTTTCATTATAGCACCAAATAAAGAATAATATTTAAGAATAATAAAACTTTTGATTTTTTTCACTTTCATACAAGTAATTAAAACAAAAGATTATTATAATTACTGATAACCATAAAAAACACCGTCAAAAATCATGTTATTTATAAAATACTCTTTTATTAGTACTAATTTTATTCATATATTTATTCTTAAAAAAGAGACTTCTTTCCTCTTCTTTTTCCTCTTTTTCATGTTTTTTTTCTTGATTTATTTTTTTAATTTTCATTTGTCACCCTCCCTAACGTCAACTAGAAGAAAAGGAGAGTTTTTTTTTTTTTTTTTCCTCTCATTTTTCTTTTGGATGAAAAATAGAAAGAAGTGTTTCCCTAATAATTTTTTTTATCGGTGAGACTTTTCTGACCATCGAATATAGTCAAATTCATATTAGATTGAAAATGTTGATGATCGGTGATTCATTTCTTCTGATCCAATCAGATATTAAAAAAAAATAATAATAAATAAATAAATAAAAGAGGACAGCGAGAAGAAGTCCCCGAATATTATTCCCTCTCTGTGTGTTGTGTTTCTCAGCAACAAAAACAAAAGTAGTTCTAATGGCGGACACGGTGGCTGATTCCCGCAGCAACAGAGCAGCTGTTCAAGCCACCAACGACGACGCTTCTGCTAGCAAATTGTTCGTCTTCTTACTCCTTTTTTCTTAATCGTTTTGTTTGGTTTCCGCGAAAAATCACAACTTTCTGAAAATTTTGATTCCAATTTCCTTTTTTTAATAATACTGACTTTGCATCTGCTTGGTTAAAAACCCAAAAGGTCGTGCATAAAAAAGGGATACATGAAGGATGACTATATCCATTTATTTGTGAGAAGACCCGTCAGAAGATCGCCCATAATCAACCGCGGTACGATGTTAGTTTTACATTCCATTTCGATCACAACAACAATTGTTTCTGTTTATTCTCTTCAAATTTCTTAATTTTTGGAGTGGGAATGAAAAATGAATCGTTAGGTTACTTTGCCCGCTGGGCTGCTCTTCGGAAGCTTCTGCTTCAGTTTCTAGAAACTGATATGAATGGGAATCAAACGAAGAAGCAGATATTATCACTTGGAGCTGGTTTTGATACCACTTATTTTCAACTGCAGGTGTGTCCCTGAGTCTTTTTTTTTTTTTCGGATTTTCTGACTTATTTTTTTGTGCTTGATTTGGTATACATAAGGATTTCATTTTGTTTTGTTTATTTTGTTGTGAAAGCATATATCTTTTATGTTGTTCATTTACTCGGTACCGGGTGAAATTCCATATTCAACCCGGCATTCTTGAGAATTGCGAATAATATATTCTTAGATTATATGTCAATACCTTTAAGATCCCGTTACTCTACTACATTTTAATTGACTTAATTGCCATAAAGTTAGACAAGATGAAGGTCAGTCTTAGTGTCTAATTTTAATTGAATCTCGCATCAGATATTCACTTGTTAAGGTTGCGATCTAAGGGGTTACTATCGTAATTCCAAAGAATGCAAAATTGAATATTGTTGCATTTCACTTGAACCCAGGGGAGGATTTTGCAGTTTTCCATATAACCAATACCTTGAGCTTTATGGGTTTTAGTTGTAAATAACATCTTTGAATTTTTGGTTCTATAAGGTAGTGTTTGAACAAGGTTTTTATTTTAACTCTCGTTTCAATGACAATGTAGATTTATGTTGTATATTTTCTTGTATAATTTTTCTTTCACAGGATGAGGGGAAAGCTCCGCATTTGTATGTCGAAGTAGATTTTAAGGAGGTGAGAGCTTGAAACCCCCATTACCATCCCATATGTTTTTGTTAGCAAATGAACTTCCTACTCTCTTTTTTTTTTTTGGCATTCGGAGCAGTTTTTTTTTTTTTTTTTTTTTTTCATTCAAATGAGCTTCAAAACTCACAAGGGTAAATTTTTTTTATGAGAGATTCTTTTGTTAACTGATTGTGCCTCTTAGAGCAACTGGCACATTTTCTGATTGTTCTTAAACGAGGGAGAAATCTTGGTATTCTAACTTTATCACTTATATTTGCAAAATGTTTTTAATTTTGTTAGGTGACTAGTAAGAAAGCTGCAAAAATTGAGACTTCCAGTCAATTGAGGGACAAAATTAGTCCAACAGCATCAGTTTCACGAGGTAGATGATCTTGTTTTCACATTGTAATGGACACCAACTTGCGCTCATAGTAGTTAGCTGGAATTTATTTCTCATGTTTAGCTTTCCTTTCTTTTGTTATGTTATTCACGTTAGGAACTAAAAAAAAAATGAGAGTTTAAAGCTAGAGTGCTGGATTATAAACTTCCTATATTTTTGTTTCTGATCTTTTCAGAGAAAGGGGAAGTGCTCAGCGATCACTATAAGTTACTCCCTGTGGATTTGTGCAACATAAACAACTTAAACGACATCATAATGTTGGCTGATATGGATCCCAGGTATGTGGTTAGAGTCAATAATTAGGACAAAAGGGGAGACATAGGGTATAAACATATATTGGTATTTCGTGGAAGGCCAAGATGGTCATGCCAGGTGGCCTTTTGCCGATCTTTTTGTTTACTCTTTGCCATGTTGGATGTTGGAAATCTCCCTCCCTAGAGCCAAAAATATTGTTATCTGCGTTCTGTGTTCATCTCCATAGAGGGTGAAATTTCCTAATTCTAATAATTTTATCAGCCTGCCAACATTTATAATTGCAGAGTGCGTTCTGATATACTTGGATCCAGATTCAAGTAGTGCTGTAGTTGGTTGGGCATCAAAAACATTCTCAACGGCAGTCTTTTTCTTATATGAGCAGGTTAGATGTCTTGCCGAAGTTCAAATCTAAAGTTTTCTGTTTCTTCTTTTGCCTGTATTGCTTGTCCTGGAATTCTACTGACCTTCCTGACTTCTTTGAGTTATGATTATTGAAAATTCTCAAGATCATTTGCTGAAGTTTACAATCTAATTTTCCTCTTTTTTACATCTTATTTAAACAGATTCATCCGGAAGATGCTTTTGGGCAGCAAATGATTAAGAACTTGGAGGTCTGTTTCTTTTGTTTTCTTTCCTTTTCCTTTTTTTTTTTTATTCTGTCAATTGTTTCTTTTATCATTATCACTGTTTAATCCCCATTTAGTAGTTTTTGTTTTGGATTCAGCTGTTGCTACTTTGATTCTTAAAGACTATTCTTTTTGTTATTGGCGCTAATCATCTTCTTTTCTCTTCAAATTCAGAGTCGTGGCTGTGGACTATTGGGTATATACGCTACACCAACATTACATGCAAAGGAAAAACTTTTTCTTGACCAAGGATGGCAGGTAGGTGTTTAGTTATTTCAGCTTCTGGGAATATTTTTCTCTCTTTATTTTCATTTTTCACTTTCTGAAAATTTACCTGTTTTTAATAAGACTGAAAATTTACCTGTTTTTAATAAGACTGAAAATTTCTCGTCTTTTCATTGTTTATTTTTATATCTTCTTGAGATAATTCTCTTTTTTACATGATAGTTTTTTAATTATTTTCTACATTATGTGGGGTCTCAGAGAGCTATTGCCTGGGATATGCTAAGAGTTTATACTGATTTTATTGAAGCTCAGGAAAGACGCAGGTATGTACTTTATACCTGTAAAATCTTGGGAAACTTATGAGTTGCTTATTCATCTGTTCATTATCATGCTTGACTTTTGGTGCTCATGTTTGATAAAGTTCTTAGGTCTGTCTGGCTTATATTTCATTTTAGTCATAATGTTATCCTTAGGAATTTATTCATTTATTTATCTAGTACTTTGTAATATAAAAGTTCTTATCTTCCAAGATTGATTGATAGCTATCTCCTATGGCTTTGAAATATATCATTTTGATTTCAACCTGATCACTTAAGGGCTGGGGACTTGCTGAAACAAGTTTAGATGATCCATCACAGTTCACACTGTGTAGTTGTCTGAATGTTTGAAATCCGTTTTTGAGAGCAAGTTTGCATATGTAATTCGTTGCGCTTTGTCTAAAGCATACTTTTTTATCCTTCCGAGAAGATAGAAATGAAGCCTCTGAAACGATAACAGATATTGGAATTAGATAGCGAATTTTGGAATAGTGTAAGGGAGCACACTTGCTGCCTCTCTGGGTTCTCCTTTTTGAGAAAAGAACAAAGCTTTGGAAGACTCTTTTTACCTGATGATTCTTGTTGCATCGAATACTTATAGAAAGACTATCTACTTGGAATATTGTGGTACCGCCACTCCTTAAAGCTCTAAAGTTTCTTGTTCAGTGATATAAAGCTCTATGTCCTCTGTGATTCTCTGCGCATCTTTTCGCCCTTGCCTCACAATTGTTTTCTATTGTTTCGGCAAGATTCTAATCTGGGATGTCTCTTTTTTATCAGGATCGAGCGGCTGGAACTTTTTGATGAATTTGAAGAATGGCACATGATGCAGGCAAGTCAAACCCCTCCATTTCTGTTGCAAAAACAAAAATTTAAGCGAGAATTCTTAATTAAATCAATTTGAGATATACTTTGAGAAGGTCGGCCTGGATACTGAGCTTCAATTTCCTGACGTGTGCGCTATGCATGTGCATGTGGATGTACATACACGCATGATATGAGTCATACCATTATCACCACTATGATTCTTATGTGTGCCAGAGCATTGGTCCATCAGGTAGTAGGGCGGGTCGTGTGACCTATATTGCTGTCATGTCAAGTAATAGTATATATATTATGTGGATGTATGTGTATACTATACATGCACATACATGCATTTTATAGTACACGCATATCCTGTGCATGTCATAGGATAATATTTATATTATCCCGTAAAGATGGGTAAAAAAGACAATTCATTTATGTATATATATGTCTATGTATGTAGTCTAGAGGGATTGTGGGGAGGAGGATGGAGGCTTTTCAAAAAGCGTGTGATAAGGTTTGATGGGTCATAATCGTTAGCGTCAATTTTTTGTTGATTTTTGGTTTGGACTGCTGGTTTTCAGGAGCACTACTGCGTGGCTTATGCAATCAACGATGCCATGGTATGTCCTTATGTGCCTGAATTCTTTGCTCTCTCTTTTGCCAAGTTGGTTTGCCATGTGATCCCCACAGCTTCAGTTTTTTTTTTTTTTTCTTTTTCAAAAAAAAAAAAAAAAAAACTGCTATGCCTTTTTGGATGAGATTGTTTCGTTTTGCTAATACCAAAAAGAATAGGAAAAAAGAAAAAAGAGAGGAAGATTTTAGAATATACCAACTTTTCGTTCATGCTCATCTGTTATCACATCATCTTGATGTGTTCTACTCTTTCTTTTTCTTTTTAATCATTTTCTTCTTTAAGATTCTTCAACTTAGCTCAAAAGTATCTGATATCTTTTGATATTATACAATGTTTCTACCGTCTCACAGGTGAAATATATTGGGAGAGTTCTTTTGTAGGGTACCCAAAAAAAATTACTCAATCGGTAATCGGTACTGCGCTATTTCTGAATGTCAAGTCAGATTAATGTCTTATCAAAACAAAAGAAAAAAATCTGAAATTTAATAGAATTTGACTAAAATCGAACAGTCCTCAACTGCGTCATATCGATACTGTGACGCATATTTCTCGAACATATTAATATCCAATCTTGATATTTTAATGGGATTGCTTACTTTATGTTTATTTTTCTTTAGGATGAGATATTGTTTGCTCATTTGGTCCCAAAAGGATAGAGCTTGGGAATTGACACAACCCATTTTGGCCTTTTTTTTTTCTAAATAATAATAATGGTATTCAAACTTTCAGGGTCTGTTTGGGGATTTCGGTTTTCCCATCAGCCGCAGCAGCAGCAGCAGCACGTGGCCAAATCCTTCATCAGCTTAGCCATGAGAATTGAGAGCACGCCAGCTTTGCTTGCGTATGCTCAACTCAAGGTGTTCGTTCTATTGACAAGTAATTTGGTTTCAACACTTGGTTTTGATTTTTACACGTGCGACTGACACGTGCAACCCCAGCCCCCAGTTGGCCTTCTTGACAAGGGTCTCTGAACTACTAGTTAAAGTCTCCACATAAAAATGATGACATGAGTAAATTGAATCCTTTTTTGTGTGTATTGTTTTGTTTGACTTGCGAAGAAAAATATACCCTTTTTCTTCCTTTCCTTTTCTTTAATTTTCTTTCTGTGCTAGCTGTTTGGCAACGAAAATGTGGTGTGTCCCACACAGCTGACAGCACCCAAAGTGGGTAGTTCGTATTTTAGATTGTGGGCTCGAGTATATATATTTGTGATCCTTTCTTTTTTTCATCTCTGGGACGTTCTCTCCTTTTTTTTAAATAGGGTTGTTCTTTATTTTGCAACTTAAAATTTATCTGTTTTGTATATTTTTTTAATTTAATTTAATTTTAATTAGACTTAACGATTAAAAAATAAAAAACACTAATATTTTTAGAAAGAAATGAATATTAAAGAAACTCCCTTAATCTTTTGATTGTGGTTTCTTGGTCATTTTTCTCCAAAAGAATTTTTTTAGTAGACAACAAAAAGAAAGTTTATTGATATTGTATAGTTTTGAATTCTCAAATTTTTATTTAACTTTGGATAAATACTATTTTTTTTTTTTTTTTTTTTAGTTTCGACATGATATCTAATCCTTTTAGCCTTTTCCCTTTTAGTTTTGATCAAACTGCGATTGCCCATTGGCCTGGAATATGCTGTCAGAGTCAATCCCAAATTCGTTTCCTTTTTGTTGTTCTCTTCTTCCTTTATCTTCTTTCTTTCAACGTACTATCATTAGTTTGGTTGAAGTGTTGGAAGCAAAAATAAGAGAATAAATATGATTTTTTTCTTTCTTTCTTGTTGGGTTGTGGTAATAAAATACAAGGCAAAAGATACGCAAAGCAAGCGTTAGAACAGAAGAGATCGAACTTGTGTGAATGAGGATGAGGTCGAGCCTTGTCAGCGCCAGGTGAATACAATGAAACACTCCTTCGAAAGTGAAAAGAAACATATATTTAAGGGTGAAAAGAAACATATATTTAAGGGTGAAATCGAAAGGTGAAGGTCGCATTAGTATTAATAGACGGTTTTTTATCGGGTGGAGTTTCTATTGATAGTGCGTGTTCCTTAAAGTTAGATTTATCAAAAATAGGATTGAAATGAAAAAGCATGTAAAATTAATAGAATCTGATGTAAATATGACAAGTATAAAATAGATTCTTGCCGATGGGGTATTTTTTTTCCTCATACCTTATTCTAAAATTTCCTTCATTAAAATTGGGGTTTGGCAAATTTTGGTACGTCTTTTCAAGGTCTACCAAAAGTCCATCTTTACATTGCAAGACGTTGCATAATTAAATACCGTATACATCATATCCTACCAATGTACACGTTTTTCCTTGACTCATTATGATGTTGCGTTGGGGTCACGTCCAATGAGACCCATTGTATATGCTAAAGGGGGTATTTTTGGTCCCATTTGCCATTAAAAAAATAAAAGAAAAGAAAAGAAAAATACGTGGAAATGACGAATTTTTTAATAATTGGAAAGGAAATCATGGACTTTCATGGGTAGGTATTGAACAAGCGGGGACCCACTTCAAGTGGCTTTTTAGGAAGAAAACAGTTGCATCATTTTCTTTTGATGGACTATCAACATCTTCTATTTTCTTTCCACTTTTTCAAGAGATGGAGAATTTTGCACTGGAGAGTTCGAAACAAGTAAATTAACATCAAATGATGGAAGATATATTATAGTTTGAAACAATTCACTAACGAATTAAAGAAAGGTAACGATTTTGTAGTAAGGTACAAAAAAAAATTATATCACATCATAATCATATTAAAACAATACAAAAAAAAAAAATATCTCATCCAAAATTAACCGAGCTTTATAAAGATTTACATCTAAAATTACACACTAAGGATGGAGTAAATTTGTATACCCTACCATATAATTCTCGCACCAAAGAATTTGAAAAATGTTAGAATTTTCAGCCGTTAGATCTATATTAATAACTGCTTATTATGTATATTTTTTTTAATCTGATTTGATTTAATTTAAATCTAACGGTTATAAACTAACTCTACGAGTCAACCAGAAGGTCCTTAAAACAATAGAAAAAAAAAAAAGAAAGTGTCCCCATGCCAAAATTAAACACCACGAATGAAAACTTTACCACACAATTCTCACGTCAAAGAATTCTCCTTTTAAGACGGCACAACATCTTTTTTTTTTTCTTTCCCCCTTTCCTTTGTGACCTTTTTAAAGACACAAGTTTGCACAAATTGCTGTTCACCATCCCTAAATTTAGGGACATTAGAGAATAGTTTAATAGTGTTTGCAGCTTTCGAAGTGATGTGTTGTTATTATTCTCAAGGCTCATGGGTTGGTTTGGTTTGGTTTGGTTTGGTTTCACCGTCTGAGGCAGGAGATTTTTCGGCTCTGATACGTAACTGTTTGTCTAGAAGTACGATAAAATATCTGTTAAACTAATCCTTACTTACAGGGGGTTACTGTACTTTGGTTGCTACCTACACAACAAAGTATGTTTGTCCCATTTTGCCTTATTGCTACCTCTCCTCTCACATTTTATTTGTCTATTATTACGTGAATTCTTGGCAATTTTAAGGACTCAAATTGTGTTGTGCCAATTTCACCGGATCCAAACAAATCTGCATTCTAATACTAATGTTTATATATATATATATATATAGGACTTTTCTTCGGTCCCCGAGAGAGACGGTCTCTTTAATGTAACGCGTAAAAATATTAAATGTAACGTGATATTTTTTTAACGTAATACTAATATTAAAAATTTGAGATCTCATGATATATAATTATTTCTGATTATTATTACACTTTTCTAACATTTTGTTATAATAAAAAACAAAATTAAAGTGTAATAATAGTATGAGCTAGTCAATGTTCTTAGTGTTACATTTTTCTAGTATTCGTGTTACATTAAATAAGTAACTATAAGGTTATGTTTCAACTTTTATATGTTAAGTTACTGGGATGGTCCTTTAGAGGGACCGTAAACAAAGCCTATGTATATATATAGCAAATTTATGAAAACATATTAAGATAGCATTCAAATAATATATGTAAGTACATACTAATTGGATTATTACTATTATCTGTTTTTAGGCTTAATTTGAGATTATTGCATGCGCTTTTAAGAAACACTACTTCTGTTTGTAGCAAAAGTAAAACGAGAATTATAATTAAAAGATTAAACTTGTTTTTATGCAAAATAATTTTTGGGGTTTTAAAAGCAATCCAAACTAAACCTTTTTATGTCATTGATACTCTATAATAATTTCTTATGGATAGCAGAGAGTTAGAATCCTTTTGAAACTAAAAATGAAAATGTAATGGTAAATCTCAAGAATTTCAAGACTAGTCATTGTTTTTAGCTCAAGTTTGTGAATATTAGTTTTCTAAAATAAAATAATAACTTAAATTAAATATATTTATTTTGGCAGAGTATATGGTTCATATAAAGTAGTTTTCTAGTTTAAAAAAATTGGTCATATTTTACTTGTTGACTAAATGTTTATGAAGAGCATCTCTATTTTCTAAATGATAGAGTAGATTACTTAAGGGCATCCACCAGAGGGACGTAAGTAATAATTTTCTATCTTATTGCTTACCAACCTCATCCAAACCTAAATTAAGTTTAAACTTGCTGTATGATAACATTGAAGAAGACAATACCCATTAGAAAGCAAATAAAAATAACAAGTAAAAATTTTTTAAAAAAAAAGAGAAATATAAAAAGAATATCTTGATAATAACGTTTCTGTTGTTACGTGAAGCATCAGATACTCTCCCCAATAACCCAAAAGACTTTCTGGGTCCAGTGTGACCTGTTTCTAACGTGCTCATGTAATTTTCTTCTTCTTTTTTATTTTATTTTTTATTTTTTATTTTTTTTGGTCTTAAGATATTTGGAGGCTGCTGTAATTTGAAAACCCACAGGAGAAAAATTGGCATCTTTCACTTTCACACATTGTTTTTCTGTCAAATTTGTTAACGGCAAAAGTCTAATTTTAAAGCAGAAACGATTTTGTTGTAAATGTTTTTTTTTTTTTTTTGGTGAAAAAAAGAAGAAAAGGGCATATGCATGTGGATGGTTGGCGTCCAGTGAGACCATGGAATAGAAAGTTTTGGGCTGCACCAAAAAAAAAAAAAAAAAAAAGGTTCTTTCACCATTTTCAATCTTTTTTCTCTCTCTTTTTATCCGTAGCTTTTGTGTCCAAAAGTTTCCACTTATTGGGGAATATCTATGTTGTGCTCCTCTTCTCTGCCTTTTGATGATGTGTTTTGCTTTGCTTCCAATGTAGTGTGGTATGAGTACATGGCCATCTTGAATCCAAAGCGAAGGAGAGAAAATCCCTAACCCTAAGAAATAAAAAAGATCATTATGATGTTGAAACAAATTATAAAGTGAAAAAAAAAAGTAAAAAAAAAAAAGAAAAGCGGAAGAAATAATGATGGCTATAGGCTAATTCAGACCTCAAACAAAGTTTTCATTAATGGAACGTATTAATAAATTGGTGCACTTTTTTTTTTCTTTTCTTTTCTTGAGTGGTTGGGTGGGAATGGCAATGGTATAAATAAATTTAAATGTATGTCGTTGGATCGTACTTTGCCTTGAATCTTGTAGGATTTGGAGAGACAAAACTACTAGTTTAAACAATGTGAATATGTGATGCAAGTTGTACATTGTCCCACGTAATCGAATGAAGAATATGATGCATGAATAGTATGGTCTAAGAGTTGTTTCTTTTCTTGTTATCGTTACTATTAATTTGCCATTATTATGTTGTTAGCAAGGAAAAAAGAAATAAACGAATTTTTCTATTGTTCCTTATACTTTTAAAAACAATGGTGTTCTTACTTAGCAGTTATTGAATCTGTATTATTTATTTAGTTTAATTTAATTTTTGATCAAATTTAATACAAATTTAATGACTGATAAGTATAGAACACATGTGTTCTAAAAAAAAAAAAAAACACTAAAGAAAGTCTTAACAAAAAAACACGAATAAATTAAGAGAGTCGTTTTGATAGATACTTAAAAGATATCATAGTTACCGCACAATACTAAAGTAACTCCGTCTTTATCAAATTCTATTAAATCCGTGTTAGTCTAAAATGACATACCATCAATATTGTATTCTTTAATTTCTTTTCATACTATACCTTAAATATTTTCCCCAAATAAAATGTTTCCCCAAAAACGCATATAAAAGCAAAAAGAGAAGGATTGAAAATGTTTGATATATCAAAATACAATGCAAGAGAAGGTGTGTGCTGACAAAAATCCAGCGGCAAATACTCTGCCAGTCATGAGTGACCAAAAAAATTCTCAAAGCTGAGCCGTTCAGTTTGTTAATTTGAGTTGAAATGTGATGTTATATGAGAGATTTTTACTGTAGTAAAAAAATTAAATGTGACGGTTTCTGAAAGTTTTTTACTATAACAAAATTCGAATTCTAAACTCGAATCAGCGAAATGAACGGGTATTAGAGTATTAATAATCAAAGCCAATGAGACTAAATTATTATTATTATTATTTTTAAAAAATGGGCCAATGGGACCACACAATTTGTTTGAAGATCCAGGCTCTGCACCACAAACCCAACAAAAACAAAAAACAGCCTTATGCACCACCACCTAATAAATTATTATTATTCCCAAAAGCTTAACATTTCACCCCCCAAACAACACTAATCAAACATATTATTTACTCACTTACACCCCCTAATTATTAAAATAATGAGATCCACTTCTGAACACATCAGATTTATTACCAACTCCTTCGCAACTTAAATATTATGTTGCTGAGAGCCAGCCAGTGATTCCAAACAAATATATATTGATATAATTCTCTCTCTCTCTCTCTCTTAATCAATTAGCTTTCTGTAAGATACATAAAAAATAAACATATTTTGGTAATACTTGATTTTTAACCGCCAACTTATTATATTAAAAAACATAAAAATTTAATGTAGCTTTGATGAAAAGTTCTAAAATTACGCAATGCACAGTTTTTTTTTTTTTTGCTAATAAAAGGTACACAATGTACAGTTTATACAGTATCTTTTGTTCTCTCTACAAAAAACATGTATTTTTATTTTTTATTTTTGAAATAGAAGGGGGGAAAAAAACACAACAGTTTACAATTCTTTTGAGCCCAACAAAATATTTTGATAATATATCAGAGCTTAAAGCCAGTGATGCATTGTGTGAGGGCCCAGTTGTAGACCACGTTCAGTTAATCACACGACGGAGGCTAAAAATTCAAAATTTGACTCTTTTAGTAGCGCTTTAATTTAAGTTTCCAATTTCAATATTATTCCTGTTTTATTGTTTTCCATTCAATTTAAGTTATTTTAGCATTTTATAATAGGATTAGTTTCTTTTAGTTTAATTTCCGAATTTAGAATTCGTTTTGTTTCCTTTATTTCGTGTTTAAATTATCAATTTAAAGAGAAATTGTAGGACAATCCAATTTAATTACTATTAGCAAAATGAGTTTATTCTCTTTATTCTAATTCTCTGGATATTCTGTCGAATCACAGATTTATAAAAGTCTTATTTTTCATGTATTCTAATTAAATCATTGCGTTTTATGATATTCAAAGTGAATCAATGGATCTTGAAAGTTACACACTTCTTATTATTTTTCTCACGCTTCCCTGCATAGCTAGTGACTCCAATATGAACAAAAAATAATAAAAAAAATGAAATTAAGGAAAACAACCAGAACAGTTTACAGTTGTGAGGCCACTGAAGGAGAAGAAAAGGACAAGGTGTTTGGACCCAACAAACTTTGCATAGCAAAAGAGCAAACAGACAGACAAATAGATCAGCTAAAAAGCCACTCCCACTCTCCACTCTCTCTCTCCTCCCTACTGCTTCTCTCTCTCTCCCTATATTTGCTTGCTTCTCTCTCTCTCTCTCTCTCTATTTGCTCTCTCTCTCTCTCTCTCCATTTCTAAGCTCAAAATCAAGGGCGCAACCAAAAGCGCGCCACCCACCGCCAAAAAAAAAACCAATCTTTTTTTGTTTTGTTTTGTTTTTTTTTCATTTTTTATTACCCTCTTTCCGTTTTGGGTTCGGACAGTACGACGTCGTAATAGCAGTAGTAGTAGAGTGTCGTCATGGGTTGTACGGCGTCGAAGCTGGACAACGAGGACACGGTGAGGCGGTGCAAGGAGCGGCGGCGGTTTATGAAGGAGGCCGTCCAGGCCCGCCACCACCTCGCCGCCGCGCACGCCGACTACTGCCGCTCCCTCCGCCTCACCGGCGCCGCCCTCTCCTCCTTCTCCTCCTTTGAACCCCTCTCCGTCTCCGACCAAACCCCCGCCGTTTTCCTCCACCCCCAACAAAAGCAACAACCACCTCCGCCTCCCTCCTCCAATCCCTTCCCGCCACGTGTCCCTCCTTCTCCTTCCCCTTCTCTCCACCCTCCGCCGCCGCCGCCGCCGTTTTCTCCCTCTCCGGCTCCTTCTCCCACCATCGCCGGCTCCAAGCTGCCTCATATTCTCTCAGCCTCCTCGATGTCATCGTCGGCGCCGCCTTCTAGAACCAACAGCAACCTCCATAATCGCCGCCGTAAGCAGCCGAGCCACCCGAAGCTTCCTCACATTCTGTCGGAGTCGAGCCCTTCGTCTTCGCCGCGTAGTCAGAGGTCAAATTTCACCGCCACCGGCGGCGGAGTATATGAAGGAGGATTTACGCCGACGGCTTACCAGGCGAACACGACCTACTCCAGCACGCCTTCCCAGGCGTCTTCCGTCTGGAACTGGGAGAACTTCTACCCTCCCTCCCCTCCCGACTCCGAATTCTTCAACAACCGCGCCGCCGCCGCCGCTAAAGAGATGCGATCTTCCAATCACGGCGGTGGCGATATCAATTCCGATGAGGAAGAAGGAACCGAGACGGAGACGGAGAGATCCGAGTACGATTTCTTCAACGCCAAGGCCGGGCAAGATCACCACCTTCGCCACGAGAAGAATTCGAATCACCACGACTTCGCCTCTGAGACGATGGAGAGAGAGGAGGTGCAATGCAGCGAGTGGGGCGATCACTACAGCACCACCAGCTCCTCCGCCGACGAAGACGATCGGGATTCGAGATCCGATCTCGGCGCCCGCTCCAATTTCGGATCCTCCGCTCGGGCAGAGTCGGTTGCGGCGCCGCCTCCACCGGCGGCGGCGGCGGCGGCTACCAAGTCGGAAGAGTATTCATCGAGCTACGGGGAGATCTCGGACATGAAAATGGTGGTGAGGCACAAGGATCTGAAGGAGATCGTGGAAGCCATTAAGGAGAATTTCGAGAAAGCCGCGGCGGCCGGCGATCAGGTCTCCGAGATGCTCGAGATCGGAAGGGCTCAGCTCGATCGGAGCTTCAAACAGCTCAAAAGTAACTATTTTTTAATTAATTTTTATTCAATTTTACTTATTTAATTATTTATCTGTTGGAATTTTGAGATTTGATTATATTTTAATTTTGTTGAATAACAGAGACAGTGTATCACTCAAGCAGTGTACTAAGCACACTAAGCTCGAGCTGGACGTCGAAACCGCCGTTGGTGGTTAAGTACCGGCTCGACGCCGGTTCGCTCGATAAACCTGGCGGTCCAAAGAGCCTTTGCTCCACTTTGGACCGCCTCTTGGCTTGGGAAAAGAAGCTTTACCAAGAAGTCAAGGTTTGTTCTTTTTTACTATCCTTTTCTATGGGATAAAGTTTGAATCTTTTGGTTAAAAAAATAAAGACGAGGATTAGAGTAAATGACTAGGGATTATATTATTAGGATAGGAAATTGAATGTGTGGACGGTGGATAGTAGCGTTAATCCACCGCAATATTTGATAAAATTGCCCTTTCTGAATGGTGGGCCCCATGGATTGCCTGCGTATATCTATCTGGGTATTGCTGTAAATTTGGACGGTTTGTCTTTCCCCTTACAGTAGTGTCTTTATGCAGCTTATGCAATTATTCCATGTTGGTTTTGAGTCGCTCCCCTTTTCTAGTTCAATGCCTGAAATGCCCTTGAATTGCATTTGGAGAGGAAAAATGTGGTATCAAGAATAAACATGGCTGAAGATTGAATCTTTTTGATAAAGTGGATGCACTTTTCTTGCTATTAAAATGCCTTACTCAAATTCGTTGTAGGTTGATCTAGTATATGAATGTAGATGCAGTAGGGCATAAAAAGTACCTATCTGCGGTCATTCAGTAATTTTTTTAGCCCGTTATATTTTTCTAGTAAGGTGTTTTTTCAAAGGAAATTTTTATAAGAGGGAAGGCTTCTTTTGGCTACCTGGTAGACGGTAGTGAAGGCTCTTTTAGCATTTCATTAGTTTTTGAAAATTTTTGGTGTATGAGCGGGAGCACTTTTGTGCCGTACGGTGCACATGTTTAAATCCAACGGCTAAAAGAACCTTCACTACCTGGAGTGAAAAAGAGCCTTTCCTACGATAAAGATTTCCTTTTTCATATCTTAACAAAGAATTCTTGTGTAAGTACTGTTAGCCATTAGTGTTTTCGCTAGCATTGAATTACTTGTTTTGCGTATTAAAATGTATAAGTACATTATTATTATTATTTTGGGTATTGTTGGAACTATTTGTGTCAACCTTTTTTTAGTGCTAAAGCAGGTGACATGTTTTTATTGAGTTTTTAGGCGAGAGAAGGCGTCAAGATTGAGCATGAAAAGAAGTTATCAGCCCTGCAGAGTCAAGAGTACAAAGGGGAGGATGACACTAAGCTAGACAAAACCAAAGCTTCAATATCGAGGCTGCAGTCACTGATTATTGTCACATCTCAGGCCGTTTCTACAACCTCAACTGCCATCATTGGTCTTAGAGACTCCGATATGGTACCTCAGCTCATTGATCTCTGTCACGGGTAAGTCCCCTTCTTCATTTCAATAAGAATATTACTTTTGGCACGAACTATAAATTGAGAGCTGTGGGCCAATGAGCTCCGATAAATTTGGTTATAACAGTTAGTATATGTGACCACTGACCACTACTAATGGTAAAATTGTGTCAAGGTTATTCACGAGAACTTAGGCTGTAGCTATTATGCTCCATTGTGGATTTTGACCAAATTGAAAATTTGGCTCTGCAACCAGTCTAATGATTGACCTTTAAGTTCTGCTCCAGCATGGTCTTGCATTTCGTACAACACTGGCATTACTGCTGTAGTTAGTGCTGCGGTTGTTGTTGTTTACTCCCTCCCTTAAATTCAATTTGTCTTGAGTAAACCAAAATCTTGCGATCTAATCACACTACTTTCCACAATCAGAAATGTGGTTCTTTTATTGTTTTGATCACGTGACTTGCTACTTCATGCTCTAGAAGAATGAAGCAGCTCAAACTGGAAGCTGTAGAATGAGATTTTATTTTGGTGCACCTTTAAAGTGACATGGAACTGAAGTAAAACTAGATAACTACCCTAGTATGTAGTTAGGCACACAGGGGGTTGGTACACTTGATTTTGCAACCGCTTGATTTCATCTCACTCATATCATGCAAGAATATTGATGTAGGGAGTTCCGAATATGAGCAGTCGTTTTTCTACTTTATTGTCATTTGTTCTAACTTTCTAATTTAGCTTAGTTTTGTTATTATTATATCGTTTATCTTAGTTGTTATTTTGTTATTGTTTTCAAGGTGAGCTATAAATAACCACTTAGCTATTGTATTAAAAAAGACTGAACATTTGAGAATTAAATACTAGACTTGAGTTTCCTCTCCAATTTGGGGTTTTTCCCTTGTGGGGTTTCTTTTAGGTGGATGCGAGAATCCTCCGTCCGGGTTAGGCCGGTAAAATCCCGTTCTATCTATTCCACTGCGTCAAATATTACTGGTATCTTGACTTGGTAGATGAAATCATTATTAATCACTGCCACCATGCCACTTGCTTCAGCCCCCTCTGGAAGCACATGAGCCTTGTTGTACTGGACTGTCCAGTTGCTGGCTACTTCTTAATACTAAATGGTGGCCCCAAATGTGGCTTTTCGGTGGTTATGTTTCACTGTTATGAAGATCCATTTCGGGCCCAAAGTTATTGAATGTGGGGTTAGGTACATTGCACTTAATTGCCATGTGGCCCACCATTCGTAGTCTTGTTGCTAGATGTGATGAAGTCAACAACATAATCATTGATACATCATCATTTGTATTGATATTACTCTTTCATAATTAGTGTTTCTCACCATAGTTAGCCTTACAATTATATACAACAAACCATTTGATAGTTGCCAATTTGGTGGAATTATGGTAAAGCAAAAAGGGAAAGGGGATGACATGGTTGTGGGATGATTCCAGAAAAACTTGTTTCAGTTGGCTGTGATTTGTCTAATTTGTTAAAATGTTTCAGACAAACTACCAGAAAGTCCCACCATTTACTCTGAGATCCTTTCTGCTTTGTTCAATTAAGTGGGTCCATTGAGCATTGTTGCTTCCAGCTGTTCAGTAGGCGTCTAGAGCTAATATACAGTCGTATGAAGGAGATTTTACATGATAAATACTTAGCAAAACTTGATAATGAAATCATTGGTCTGTTGACTAACTACATACTGGAGTGTCGGAGAGTTCTCAACATTTCTGAACTGTTGCTAAATTTGATTTCATCACCTTGTTTACCCATTGCATAGCCCCCCTGTGCAACTGGTTTCAGAATAAGTTATCTAAGATCGTTCCCTTCTAACATCTATTTATGTTCTGATGTATCAAATGTAGGTTTATGTACATGTGGAGATCGATGCACCAGTACCATGAAATTCAAAACAACATTGTCCAACAAGTTCGTGGCCTCGTGAACCAATCAACAAAGGGTGAATCGACTTCTGAGCTGCACCGGCAGGCAACCCGTGACCTTGAATCAGCTGTCTCTGCCTGGCACTCCAGTTTTTGTCGCTTAATAAAGTTCCAACGGGATTTCGTTAGATCCCTTCATGGTTGGTTCAAGCTCACTCTTCTTCCTGTTGACAATGACAACGTCAACATGAACAGCAACAGGGAACGCTCTGACGTATATGCCTTCTGTGATGAGTGGAAGCTTGCACTTGAGCGTGTTCCAGACACTGTGGCGTCTGAGGCCATCAAGAGCTTTATCAACGTTGTCCACGTTATATCCTTTAAACAGAGTGAAGAGCTCAAGGTAAAGAAACGCACCGAGTCTGCATCCAAGGAGCTTGAGAAGAAGGCATCGTCTATCCGAACCCTAGAGAGAAAGTTCTACCAATCGTACTCCATGGTCGGTATTGGACTGCCTGATGCAGGGCCTGATAATGGGCAGGTATTGGATGCTCGAGACCCGCTTGCTGAGAAAAAAACCGAACTTGCAGCCTGTCAGAGGCGGGTTGAAGACGAGATGATGAGGCACGCTAAGGCAGTGGAGGTGACGAGAGCTATGACACTAAACAATCTTCAAACGGGCTTGCCAGGAGTTTTTCAGGCACTGACCAGTTTTTCTTCCCTATTTACGGAGGCACTTGAATCGGTTTGTACTCGATCCTATGCAATAAAATAGGTAAAGATATATAATTTTCTTTCCCACTTCTATTTTTGGAGTAAGTTGGTATCTATAAGAGCTGGGATTTTTTTAGGGGGGTCAATAGGCTCTTTTTTTGTGATTATTGCTTTCCGAGGGTTTCTTTTTTATTTTTTTGGTCAACATGTAAATGTCTGGAATTTTGTGATTTTGCAGTCCATTTTGGTTGAAGAAAAGAAATCTGTGTACAGGGAAATTGCTTACATTATTATTGTATGTGACTTGCGCTCTTTACTGCAGATGAATAAATAACATGCTCTGCCCTTCATCTCCATTTCCTTTTTCAGTTCCTTGTGGATGTATCCTTGTTCACTTTTAGAATTATTCTTCTCCTTTGAGATTGATTTCATTAACGTTGACTTTTTCATGCATAAGAGACGGGGAAGCAGAAAAGAGAAGGTATTCATGAACTGTTTGATCTTTGATCAAATTCCGTAAATTTGCATACTAGTTTTAGTTCTCATATTTTTAGATGTGATCTGACAATCTATATTTGTACAGTATCGGTATGTTTCCCCCC